AACGATTTTCTTATTTTGTAATTATTCAAAAATTAATACCTAACAGGAGATATTAGGTATGTTTATTTTATAATGTTTTATATATATTACAATTTTCAAAATATTTTAACTCGTTTTGAATTTTGATAGCTATTTATATTTTATAGACATATATTTTGACAATTTAATATAATATATTATATAAACATTTGAAATTTGAAATTATTTGAAATTTTTTTCTATAAATATCAATAAAAAAATTTTCGTTTTGTCAAAAAATTTGACAATTTAATACAAAGTTGTAACACACTTTCACTCAAATAAATATTCCTTTATTTTTATCTCTCACTACGACGACCTGTCAATGTTTTATGTCGAGGCATTGAGGCATACTTTAAGTAGGTGCAAAAATGTACTTACTACTCAGGTACTTACTCACTTTGTTGAAGACATTTATTTTCCATTTTCATCAGGTACCTTTACGGCTTTACAAACAGTAAAAAAACAATAACATAAACACAGATTTATAAATAGCAGTGGATAATAAACGATTTTGAAGACAATTGAACAAAATTACAAAACCATATAGACTTAAAAGTTTAGGCCACAGGAAAAACAATAACAATATTCTAGGTACTGATATTGTTTTTTCTATATGACAACATGGTGCGGTAAATTTATTGCCTTTTATGCTATTTTTATTCTAATCTTTATACATGTACATATATATTATATATGATATAATTCTTTTGTACCTACGTTTTTACCTCACTGAACTCCTACTAAACGGCTGGACCGATTTTCATGAAATTATTTGTATATGTTTGAGTGATTCGCTGGATGGTTTATATTTACAATTGAAGCCGCGGTAGGTCCAACCTGGAAACGTGCTCAAACAAGGATTTTGAGATTTACGATGGATATTTTTGTTTATAAATGGTTGCTATTGATTACACCTTGCAGACCATAATGTAGCAATAGGAGAAAAAAGTTTTTTTTTTATAGTTAGATGTTACTATTGCTTACTCGGGCAGATAAAGTAAAAGCATGCGTCAAATCGTATATTATACTAGGTATCATAATCTGAAGCCAATGACAACCACAAAAAATTTACGATTTCCGTTTGCTGAATCAAAATCCTGATAGATATGAGCACATCTTTAAAATGCGAATTTTTAAAAATTCTTTCTTATTGCCCACCTAGATCTAGATCATTTAATCACAATTCCAAATTTCAAATTCGTTTTGTCATTTTGTAAAAAAGTAATCGTATGTGTTATTGTACTAATTAAAACTGTGTTATTTTATTTCACTGGTGTATTCCTATTTTCATATTTTAAGTTTTAACTGCTTTAACGTCATCGTATAATCTGAACTTCTTCTCTATAATAACTTTAACTAGGTATACCAAATCTCAAACTCCTCCGTGCGTGAAATGTGCTTAAAAAGGGATACAAACATATATAACATAGATACACAATTCGAATCGAAAATTATTTAATAAAGAATTAAATGTTCAGATGATTATTTTCAAATATTTAAGCTTTAAGCAATATAAATTATAATGAATTAGCCATTAAAAAAATGTATTATTTATGTCATGTATCTTACATTCTTACATATCTATCTTATGATATAAGTAGGTATATACGAGCATTTTTGAATGATTTAAGATAAAATCAGTTTAATAGGTGCCTAATTTAATTTAGAGTTTTAGTTTCATACTTTCATGTACAAAAAATCTCTTCTAAGGGGGCTGGAGCATACCATGTTTTAAGGAGTATGTTTAGGCATTTAATACTACACGTACATTTGGACTGTGTCAATGCGTAAGAACATGGTTTAAAGTGTTTAAACCATGCGTAAAAAGTAAGTTAGTGTGTGTAATCCGTTATCTCACTTTTCGAGATTAAATTTGAATAATTCTCGGATTTACGATTTATTTCGTAATGTCGTAGGTAATATTTATCGTACTAAGATTCTTAGAAATGTTCTAACACCCATACGCGCATGCACAAGTCAATGAACACGAAGAAAATAATTTTACTCCGGCTGTAGGGCATTTTATGTAAACAGTACCAAAAGAGGAATAAAAATTCACCATGATCGACTTATATAAATTAGTTTTGAAAAGATGGGGGCGTATTCGTTAGTCTATTTTCTAGGTTTGCTCGGAAATAGATTTATGACTTTATTTTTAGTCAATATAATACGATGCGTAGTAAGTTTATATTTTTATAAAAATGAACTTAGACTTGACTTAGTTGTAACTTGTAGATAGTGATGAAATTAAAAATATAAGAATCCACTTCCAAGCCAACTTAAAAAAGAGTAATTCAAACCAAATTTACTTTTCAAAATTGAAATCGTGCTACTGGATGTATGTTTAATTTTCTTTCACTTATCTAGCTAAATGTATGGAAAAAAATGATTGCTCCAGCCCCCTTAATTGTATCGGTTATCCAAGGCCGGCGTTAGGGGTGGGGCATTTGTCCAGGTCCTCGCGCATTCAATGGCCTCGAGCTCAAAATTTGCATAGGAAAATATTTTATATGAAAATCTTGTACTAAAACAAAACAACAATATAACATTAAATTAAATATGTGTGTGTCAACATCGATCGGTACGGTATGGAAACTCATTCCTAGAAAGTTTATCGCATTATTAAATTTAATTAGTCATTACCCGATATAGTGAGCGCCTGTCAAATCATAAGTAACTGTTGTGACCACGTCCGATAACATAATATGCTGGCTATAGTGCAATACTACGAACTACATAACTATATATAAAATTATTTAACGTACCTATTTTGAGGGTTTGTATGCAACGAGTAACGACAATATTTGAAGTTGAATATTATTCTCAATTGTTTTTCGACTGTCGTACTCGTCCAAGCTGTTTCAAGAAGAGTTTGTAAATTTCAATTTATTTCTCCACTCTCCAGGTAATAATTACTGTTGAATATTGGATACACTTTATAGTCAAATACTGTACTTTAGTGATTTAAAATACCATCTGAGCGTATACACACAAAATACCTTGATCGGTGTATTGTATAATAACATTGGAATTTATCAATACATATAATTTTATCAAATAATTTATAATTTGAATATATTAGTATACATATTAGAAAACGGAAAAATCTAATATTCATCAACTAATAACTCAATTTATACAAATTATCCAACCTTTAGCAAATTTGTAATAAAAAAATTATTTTTTGTTAAAAATGTATAAAATGTTCAAATTTTATAGCTTAGGATTTATAACTTACAACAAGGTACGTAGGTTATTCTGTAACAAAAATATAAAAACAGTTTTTTTATGTTCAAATTTGGAGTAAATTACATCTTAAATAACCATGAATACCGATTTGAGTTATTTTGTTGTAATTTTATAAGATTAATTCAACTTACTAGTAAGTAACATTAATTTTTTATGATCGTATGACAACTTTAAGTCATTGTTTATTCACCCGTAACAATGATTTCTAATTAATCGATTTTTGATATTATGTAGGAATTCGAAAACGAATAACAGTAGATACTTGAAATTTTCCCTTCGATTTATTTATTTAGGTAGGTACATTAAATTATTTTAAGAATTTACTATTATAATTTATAGTGTTAAGTATAATTAATAATTATACCTATATTAATTATTTAATCATCATTTTAAATTAAATACATTTTGTTAAAACATAAGCAAATCTATAAGTTAAACGAAATTAACCTTATCAATTTAAATTTAAAAATTACTAAATAAAAAACATATTTCTATAATAACTAGATGGGTATCTAGTTATTATAGAAATATAATAATATACAACCGACCCATATACAATATTAATATTATGGAATTATGATGCCCAACGCCATTTGTCACTTGGGCAAAGTTCACAAACTCTAATCCTTTTGATTGGCAACGGGCTTGTTTGATATGAAATGTTGTTGTTTATTATCATATCACATAATATTATCACATTGCCCAAGTTGCAAATGGCTGCCATTAATAAGAAGAAGTCGGGTATCTAGTTATTATATATATATGTGAAATTAACTGATATTTATTTACGAAAAGTATTCAATAAATTAAAAAGTGTAAGGACAATATTAACAATTTATTAATTAATAATTAATTTTAGCAAATAACTTTAGAAAAATCATAAGGAGATTGTGACTTGGGAATTCTGGGATTGAACTTACAAATTCTTACTAATTACTTGTAGAACAATGGCACTGTGAAGAACTTGTTTTAAAGAAGTGTATGTTTTAAACTGCCATTTATATTTTTTTAAACTAAATACTTTATAATACTTCACAGTTAAATTATATAGATTATGAGATTAAAATGCATAATATATGAATACAAAATAGTAAATACATATTTCGAAAATTTCATTATGTACAGAAACAATAATATAATACCTATACAGTATACATAGTAGGTAGTAAAAAGCCTTCATAAATCACATTTTTGAATAATATAACAAAATAAATATGTAGTAAATCGAATAAGTACCAATAAGTACCTACTCTTACTAATACATTATAGTTTTTAGTACCTTAAACTATAATTCTATAGAATATAAACCTAGATACTTATAAATTTAATTGGCCACTTGAAATTGCCAACGAATTATTTATTTAAAATAAGATAAAAATAGTGTAGATAAAAAAAAGTTAAATATAAGATTGACGATACACTAGTTGAATTCCCAGGAGCGATGAATACGAGCGTTCATAACTAATATTTATCAGTACACTTGTCAGGTTTGGATCGCGAAGTTAAAGCATTTCACTAAATGTCTTTTTTTAATATATTGAAAAATCGATTTTTTACTTTATAGATTGAATAACCGTGTTTTTAGACAAATCATAAAATAATAAAAAAATTTAAATAATATATGTATATATTATTATATTTTATTTAAATCTTATAATTTGTCCAATATAATATATCAATAGGTAAATTTGATTGTTCCACTCGTGATGCTACTACTGCTGTGAGCTTCAATGACATTCTCAAGAAAAAGGTTACTCAGGTAGTAGTTTTCTGTCTTAGTTTATAACTATTTCAGTAGACATTGAACAATCGATGTGTATACTCTGCTATATCGCGTTCGATTAAATTGAAAGCAGGACATAAGTTTCCAGGATCTGTAAAATATAGTTTAGAAACCTTATTTATATTAGTGATCACTGATCACTAATCAGTCCAACAAACCGGATCGCCAAACCAAGGAGTGTAGTTCCAGCCACGTATCAACCAACTATACTACCTACTTAACTAGATAAAATTACGAATAAATATCGAAGGCAGGGACTGGAACAGTACTGAAGTTGACCGGTTTTGGACCGAAACCAAACCGGAACCCTTAAATATATTTTTTTAGGAACCGAAACCTACATTTTGGTTTTTTTTGGTTTCAAAATCCAATAGATATTTTATCTATAATTACAGTAGATATAATATAATTATAAAGTTAGTTATATTACTACTTATTGGTAAATATAACATATAATTATAAAATCATGGATCTATAAAAGCTTATCAATACTAAGAAATAAGAATATTATTATGTGTACAACAGAATTATCATAAAACAAATTCCAAAAATCCAAATTCTAATTTCCATGTAGGTAATCTATAAGTTATAACAAGCACGGTACCTATACCTGAGTTCAATTATTATTGAATCGCAAATCACAATTCGCAATAACTAATGTAGAATTTCTAAAAATAATAACAATTTGCAAAGGTTGGCATTAACTTGTTAAAAAGTTAAAGTTAAGCTAAGTTTTTTTTTCATATAATATGAATAGTAGATCATGATATGTTCACTATAGCAATATTGTTTGAAAACTGACATTTTTTTTTTTTACTATTTTTAATCTTCGAAGTTCGAATACCTGCCTAACAAAAAAAAATATGTATATATGACTTCTTATAAAAATTTAAAGTTAAGATTATTATCTAGGCATTATCATAGACTTTATATTATATTTTAATTTTGTGAGTATTTTATGATGTACAATGTACCTATATATTATATAAGTATTTTAAAACCGGCCACATCAATAAATCTGTACTGTAAGTACTTAAATATTTTCCCTGTCTTATAATTTATTATTTAATTATTACTTATTTATTTGTTTAAACTTAATTTGAATAGTTTGATAAGAATTATTAATGTAGTTGTCTTAAAATTGTTAACACACCTTTCAAACAAGAACTGTAGGTAATCTACTAATCTCCTCCACAAACCTACGTTTTTGGAGACAATATCATTTAAATAATTTTTATTTGTATAATGTATGTAATTTTTTTCTTAATATAAAATAAAGTTATTACTTATTATTATTTTATTTGGGGATTTTTTTTCCGATTACCATATTATTATAGGCAGTACCTATCAGGGAGTGGTACTCAACCTAAAAGAATCAGTTCTGGAACCAGAAACTTTAAAATATTAAGAACTGGAATCGGAACCGAAACATTTATTTTAATAAATATGTAGGTAATTTTTAAATTAAATCAAATTTTTTTTTAGGTTCAAAAATAAAATAATTTTATCCATCGTAATTGAATGGTATTGATTTTTTGTGTATAATCTATGTACCTATATGATCATATGAGTTTTCTAATATTTCTCATACTATTAATTAAACCCGCCTTTCGGATAAGTATTTAAAATTACTATACTTTTCGGTACCCAAATTATCTGGAACCGATACCTTTATTTTTTTTATTTTTTTTTATCAAAAAACTGAACCATTACCGGAACCGATACCGATAAATTCAAAGAGTTCCAGTAACTGGTACCTATATTATATAATATAAACGCATATGTATGAATTATTGTGTCGGTCACTCACAATAAATCTGTCACATTTAAATTTACTGTGTTCCAATCGTTTTAGGTTCTAGGCAATTATTAAAATGTTTAAATAATGTATATTTATAAAATAGAAAGGGGCTATCTCAGTGTAGGTACAACCCCAAACATGTTCTTGTATAATATGTATATATGTATATATATATGTATATATAAGTAATTATTATTGTATAATACCACTTATGTATTACTGTTATTATACTGTATTCACCCACAATGTATTATATTTATAAAGACTTATGGTCGTTTAAATAAAGATGCCTTAGGCAGTTAAAAAAAAATAAAATAGATTATCCTAAATATTTGTCTTAGTTTCTAAATTACACGTCACTAATAAGTTGTTATAATAAAATATAAATAGGTACTTACTGTTTAATTAATGTATAATTTTAATTTACATTTTTTTGTAGATCAATGCTAAATACGTCCAAGCAAATATTTTTGAAACCAAAAATTTTCATGTTATGGATGGTATTCTTCACATCAATATATTGGACTTATTCATATTATTCTTTGGCTGCATTTGAAGTGCCTCTTAGTGAACCACGTTCACTCATCTTAGACCACAGTAAGTGTTAAATTACAATTTAATTTATATTAGATAGGTAAAAGTATGTGTGACACATTCATATAAAATTAAAGAAAATTACAGGTTACTTATATTACTTAACAGTATTAATTTCATGCAGATAAATTAAATATAATAATTAAATTAGTTACATCAATATTGAAAAATCAATGTGATCATATTAATTTTACTGTAAATTTGTTTACAAACCTAAATAATTAGTATAATATATTATAGGATCTTATATAATATATTGTATAAGGGCAAAGGTGGGCATTAACTTAACTAATTCATTATTTTTGTTATTATTTTATTACTTTATTCAGTTAAAGTTTTAATTGCTGTAACTTAACTTTTTATAGTTAATTATCATTGTCATGCAGTTAAGTTAATATTTTCTTTTCGAGTCATCCGTAATCAACTAGACAATATTGATTCGTTGACTCTTATTCGATTTTGGTAATTTATTTTCGATTTATAGTAGCTAAATATTACTGTTTCTTTCCTGTTACCTAACAAACTATCTAAAATAAATAATTATTCATTTAAAATTGTATATTTAATATGTTGTTTTTAATATAACTTTTTATTATTATGAAAATTGAACATTATAAATCATTAAATTACATAAGAGTACATGAGAGTATGAGAGTGAGCCATACGAGCAGCACATCGTGATTTACAAAACTATACAAACTCAAAATTGATAATTCTACTAGGTATCCCATTTACCAATGTATAATTGTTATTTGTTTCAGATACATCTGGATATTTAATTAATACACCAGGATGTCGAATTCCAGAAATGTATTTGAATGGACCTAAAATAGATAAATATCTTGATCCTGACGTAGAACTAAATTGCAAAACGAAATGGAATCTTACTTTGCCATATTTAATAACCTCAGATTTAACATCTCTAATGTTAAATAAGACCGCATGGGCTACTTTAAATATCAGTGAGGATGATACAAGTTTCGTATGTTATTACATACCAGTAGAAAGGTCAGCAATTGACAACGACCAAGATCCTAACACATTTAATGATAATGGTGTAAAGTAAGAGTATTTTTCTACTTTTAGTTCAATAAGAAAGTTTAATACCAGGTTAGGAGTGTATAGGTATCTCATGTCGTTAATTAAATTTTTTCGTTTTATTTAAATTTGATAAAAGTAAAATATAAAGGCTACTTTTTTATTTTGTTTTAGTTTTTTTCTAATAATGCCAATAAAAATTGTTTCACTTGGTCTAAAAACGAAGTAATTGAATACGAAATTTGTTATAAACTGTTCTTCCTATAATAAAACTGGAAAGTCATATTCATTTTTTATAGGCTTTTGAAGTTCAAACTGTAGCAAAACTCGTTAAAATCACAAACATTTTCAAATTATGTTGGAGTTAAAAATATACAAAATGTTTAATTTTTATACCTAAGACTAGAAAATGTTATATACCTAAGGTTCCTTATAAGAATTTGATACTTAAAATAATAAATCTAAAAAAGTTTTATTTTTTACTATTAATTGTTCTTATTGTTTTTTTCTTTTTTTAAACAGATTGAATGATACCTCTATGAAACAAAAAAAAAACATTTGAAGTACAAATTTTAACAAATGTTGACAAAATTAGTTATTTATATATTTTGTTGTGATTCAAAATCATTATTATTGTAAGAACTAAAAACTGTTAAGCATCTTATATATTTTACTTCACGGAAAAACATTTTCAAAACATTTGGATTCATTTTATGGTATAACCTATTTTTGGTTTCAACCGTAGGTATTACACTATAAATAGTTAAATAAATTACTATAGTAATAATAAATAATAGAAATATATAAAATAGGCATTTGATCGTTTTAAGTATGCAATGATTCATCATTGAATTCAAATTTAACACTTCCATTACAGTGATATACTCAATGAAAAGATGCACTAAAATACTACTTGGCAGCAGAGTGGTTATATCTATTTTGTAGAATATTATAATAATTCAACATATTTTAGCCATATAGCAATTAGTAATTACTATAGAACTTATTTACCTACCATTGTCAATTAAGGGCTTTTGTAAAATCTATGTATATAGGCTTATGTTAGAGCAAACAAAACAGACTATGTAAAATTGAATAAGAAATCTTTTGTTTTTATTTGACTGCGTTTTTATAATTTGTATCAGTCGTTGAAAAGAAAAAAATACATTGCAAAAAACGACATGAAATACCTATATATTATACCTATTAAATACCTATGTGGCTATGTAGTAAAATATTAAAATTCCAGAACCATTAATACCTAATAATTAATACCAAACAGTATTTTAAGGTATAGCATTTGCCACATAGGATAATTGGAGGGATACACTAAACCTACACAGATATAAAAATAGGTATTAGGTGTACAATTGTAAATGTGTTCATTTTTCTTATAGACTTGGCGAAAAAGTATATTTTGTACACAATACGACAGTTACAAACGAAATGGTTGAAGTAGTATGCACATTAAATTCAAGTATAGTTTACAAATATTATCATATATTCATACGACCAACTTCGTCAGTAAGGAACCGAAAAGACGGAGACGTAAGTGTATTAGTTTTGGGTTTGGACGCGGTATCTCGTATGAACTTTCATCGTCAAATGCCAAAAACTAGTGCGTTCTTATCTGAAATTGGCACTATTGAAATGATAGGTTATAATAAAGTTGAGGATAACACTTTTCCAAATGTAGTTCCCACACTAACTGGAATGTCAATAGACGAGTTGAAAATAAATTGTTGGCCTGAAAACGATGATTTTTTTGATAAGTGTCATTTTGTTTGGGATGATTATAAAAATGCTAATTTTAGCACAATTTTCGCAGAAGATAGTACTATCATTGGAACTTTTAATTATTTGAAATCTGGATTTTGTAAACAACCCACTGACCATTATTTAAGACCGATTTTGAATCATGCTGAAAAAAGCATAGGCCACACATTGATACTAAACACTTTAGGTTGTTATGGTACTCGGTTGGCAATGACCATGATGCTTGATTATGCCTATAAAATTGCTTTATCAATGGCTAATCACTTATATATGAGTGTATTTTGGACGACGAGTCTAACTCACGATTACGTAGAGTATCCGAAACTGGGCGACGATGATTTAAGGGACTTTTTTGATGCGTTTAACAAGTCTGGTGAGCTCAATAAAACCATTGTTATACTAATGAGTGATCACGGAATCAGATGGGGACGATTTAGGGACACGTATCAGGGTAGTTTGGAAGATAAACTACCCATTTTGAATTTCATCATACCACAATGGTTTCAAAATATGTATCCCAGCGCAATGAAGAATTTGAATAAAAACACGATTCGTCTAACAACACCTTATGATTTACACGAGACACTATTAGAGTTCATCGACATGAACCAGCTCGATGACAATTCAATTGCGAGACGAACAAAAATGAACGAGTATAAAAGAGGAACAAGTTTGTTTCTTGAAATTCCAGAAAATAAAAATTGCAAAGCAGCTGGAATACCAAAAAACTATTGCGCGTGCCAAGAGGAAAGGCAGGACTTAGCTGTAGATGACCCAATCGTCGTTAAAGCGGCCAATGCCTTAATGGAATATGTAAATTTCAAGTTGTCGGCTTATAATACACTTTGCGCAAATCTAACGCTGCAAGAGATCTATAAAGCTTCAGTTGAAATGAGAAAAGATAATAATTCGGTGAAAGATTACATAATACAAGTAATTACGGTTCCTGGTTCTGCGAAATTCGAAGCAACGTTAAGGCATCATGACGATAATTTTGAAATGATGGGTACAGTTAGTAGATTAAATTTATATGGCAATCAGAGTATTTGTATGCATGACGCTAAAATGAAATTATTGTGTTATTGTATACATAAAAATTAAACTCAAAAACATATAGGTACTCGTAATATCCCAAACTCATATCATTGTGTCAATATATTATTGTATTAATGTGATTATTTTATTCATCAGTACTCGACAGATAGAATAATGTAATCGATTTTTCTAATGGAGTTTAATTTGTTTTTTAATGGTATATTTTTAATTTTGTATAAAACATATTATTAGCATTTTAAAGTTTTTATTGTAAAAAGATTTTTACTTGTGAATTGTGTTTATTTTTTTAATAATATATACGACTATGTGCATTATATTTTACACAGTTTACACAAAAACAAATACCATTTTTTAATTTTTATTCATTTATATCATATATGTTCATTTTCTCATTTTAACAAACGTATAACATTTTGTTACTATCTGTTGAAAAATAATAAATGTGATTACTATTACTATTTATTATAATAGGATTATATTATAATGCTATATATTATTTTATAATTTGATCGATTTGTATTGTATAATCATTAACAATTCATTCGAACTTTTTTTGTCACAGGGAGATGCATTAATGCATTAGTTAAGACTGAAGAGCCGATGTTGTTTTCTCAATAACCTATTTTGAGGCAAGGTGGCTAGGTACTGGCACCTATGATGTTAGTAATAAGTAATCACTAATATTAGATTCAGAATTATACTATGATTTAGTTATACACAACTGGCGGTCCCAGGATTTTACTTCAGGTTCAGCACATCTAATGACACATTTAATACAGAATACACATACATTCGAACATTCCTATACAACACACACACACACTCTTCGGTCCTACAAGCTCATCTAGTAGTAGACAATGATTTCAATGTTGTAAATGTATGACCGAATGATCATAATGCAATTATATTTTCTAAAATAGCATGTCTTGTAGGGCTGAAGTCTTCCTTCGATAAAAATTTAAATAAGCTACAGTATAGTACCAAACAAATTAAACATACATCCATTATTTTTCAAACCAGATGCTGAATTTACCTTTTCACATGTAGAATCTACTAGGGCTAAATTAATACAGTGAGCATAGCCGTGGACATAATATAGAATATTTTTATTTTCCACTTTACACTTAGCTTATACTCTTCCAATAGATAGGTACCTAGGTAAATTTGGGAGGAGTCTTCTTTCAACATTTATAATGTTAGCTTTGAAAAGAAAATCATTTATGAATTTCTAACGGAAAAATGTTCGATATTTTGTTGAATTTTGTCAAAATTTTAACTTCAATTGCAAATAAAAAAAATGCGTACCTATGTATTTCTGATTTTTATAAACTCACATTTATGAAACTTATAAGGAATCTTGTATTCAATTTTCAAGATTTTTTACTGAAAAAGTTTTTATCGAGAATAGTTTAAAAAAAATTTCTCAAGGCTATAACTAGCCCAAAAAGAGTCAAAATATTATGAAAATGTTTCCATTTATGTGAAATGCTAATATAGAAAATTTCAATGGTCTATACAGTTATTAATTTTTGAGTTACACCAAAAAAATAAAATCGATTTCCTCAAAAATTGGTTTTGTGTAAAAATTATCACTTTTCTTTGAATTTTGTTTTGTTTTTCTCGACGCTTATTAAAACTACTTAAAATTTTCTATTTTGATCTCCCAAAAGTACCAACTAGGTTCACTTTTCTATCGCTCTGCTCAGAATCTAAAATTGATTAGGTATCTTATATAATGATGGTTATTGTCTTTGCATTACATAGGGATGTCAACTTTTCAAAATTCCACCAATTAACCTACCAACACAATTCAAAAATGTACAAACGTGCATGCGACGACTACTGTTACGGTAATGATACGATCGATTACCGCCATGATCACGTGAAAGGTAAGTCTAGTATAGCCAATGATAATAATATACAGACGAGTTAGACATTTCTTAATATTGTTTTATTACCCGATTATTACAATTTTATTTTATGATTTCAGTTAGCAACTACTATAATAGTATAAAATACGAAGATATTCAAAAGGAAGTGCAAAATTACGGTCCAGTTTCTGCAGTAGGTTTCTTGCTTTATGATGACCATTTTTTCTTTACAAAAGTGGTTAGTTTATAAATACGATCGATCATATTATATTTCATGCTATACAATATATATATTACTCAATTCAATGTATTGTACGGCTTTGATTTGTTGTGTGCTATAGGTGTTTATGAAGTAACTGAAGAATCGATATTCGTGAAATTGGTTGTTGGTTAACTCTTGCGGATATAAATGGAGACAGAATGGACTTTTCAAATTCAAAAGGCACACGTCATGTGTCATCGATTCTTATGTTTCTGCAGGTGAACGTGAAATACAATAATATTATTTGTCATTTTAAACCAACTCGAAACAACATTCAACAAACAAATGATACGACTGTATTTAATAAAAATCCTTTATCAAAAGTTTACTGTTATTTTAACAATAATACAACTGTATATTATTCCATTTTTTTAATTTAATACAAGATTTCTCTTAAGTTGTTGTTAATGGAAATTAAAAATAATGTTGAGCGTAAATCCACAATATTTTAGAGCATCAAAATCAACACAATGCACATAATGCACATATTTATAGGTACAAACAAGTTAAAAAGTTAAAGTTAAGTTAATTTTAACTTTTTAACTTAACTTATTTTAATTTTTATAAACTTCATAAATAACGAGTTTCTTTTAATCAAATTCAAGTTAAGTTCATTTATAAATAATTAAATAATAAATAAAATAAAAATAAAAATTATTATTGATGTTGCATATTACTCATAATTATTACTAGAATAGGAAATTAGATATATAGTTAAATTAATTTCTTGTTCCATTAACCAGAATTCTTCAAAAAAAACTTAATTAAATAGTAAATACAATACATAATATTATAGCAAAAGCTATTTAGGTACCTATATAATATTATATTATAATATAAAGGTGCATGTATCGTATTTAGGTATAAAGATATACCATACTGCGACATATTGTAATAATAATAACTCATAAATACTAATAACTAATATGATAATATTATCTTATTATATTGATATAGATTCAAATCACAAATGTACAATTCTCAAGAACATATTATAAAATATTTTCGCCATAAATAAGTTATTTATTTATTTATAAATCAAAAGATTGTATTTATTTCGGAATTTTCAATTTCGTATGCTTTTGGTACCCACTACATAATACTATTAATTCAGTGCCTAATAATTTAATTCTATGTGTAGAAAAGGTATTGTCTATTTCCTGTGTTCAATAATATTTATGATTTTTATTATTTTAAACCATATTTCTGGGTATTTATATAGATATTAAAAAATAATAATAATAATAACTTAACTTAACTTAATAAGTTAATTAAAAAAGTTCATATAACTTTTAACTTAACAGAGTTAAAAAAAAAATTAGGTTAACTGTTAACTTTAAACTTTTTAAAATGTTTTCCATCAACTAAACTTAACTCAGTTAAAAATTATCATTAACTTGTCCAGGTATGATAATATTGTACAGCAGCATTGACTTGTCAAACATATTATTTTTTTCATAACTCTACTATGAGTAAAATCAACTATTACTTGGAAAATGGGTTATCATCGATGACAATCAATGGCAGTACGAAATATAGGTAGGTTGGTAGGTACCCATTTAACTTAAATCAACTTTGCTGATTACATAATTTAATTGCTGTTATTATAGTAATAATATTATTATCGTAGTAATATTACTATTGACGTTGTTGTATTGCGTAGTTACGTGATATACGTCAATCGTATTTATTGCATATTATATTTTATTAATTGCCATTTGTTTATTATATTTAATAATTTTAAATGTCAAAAAAATAATTAAGCGGTTCAATGAAGAGAAAATTAAAGAATAAACTTCATGAAGACATGAAAAAACAAAAAAACTGCACGGTAGTTAATAATCAAAAATTGCTTTTTAATTTGTATATTTACTGGAAATAAATATTAAACATTAATTAGACGCATTGAAATAGTGTAGTGTTCTTGTATATTAAATAATCACATTTTTAACTATACAACTTTATTCTATGATCAAACTATAGTTGCCTATAGCCACTCATATATAAGCAATATATATATATATATATATATACATATATATCATATGTAATTAGTTAATTACATACGGCATTAATTTAGAAACACATTGTGCATACATTTTATTTCAGCACTGAGGAAAATAGAGAAGGATAACTTGGGACCCAAAATTGTAAATTGTACTGGGCCAATAAAGTTGTAAAACAGGCCCTGCGTTTAAGGGGATTCGAAACCTTGATTATCTGTTTTTGTCTAACACACACGCGACATATGATTTTAGACTGGTTCTTTGTCAAACGTAAAAATTGATCTAATGAAGCGATAAGAATTCTAAAAACAGATTTGAATTTTGTCGTCAAGTCTACTTGAAATCGATCTATCCACATTTTTGATTTTTTGATTTTAACTTTTCAAAAAACTAAAATACGACGATTTTTAAATACTCTTTTTCAATATGAAATTTTTAGGAATTTGGGGGATAATATCAAAAATGTGGGAAGATCGATTTCAAGTAGACTTGACGACAAATTCAAATCTGTTTTTAGAATGCATCATTAGACCAGTTGGTATGTTTGACAAAGGACCAGCCTAAAATCCTATGTCATAAAACAGAAAATCACAGTTTCGAATCCAATTAATGTACCTAGTTATTATTATATTATTCGAAGTAGGCTAATCGCGGAATCAATTTCGCGTGTATTCTCTGGCAACGCACGTTATAATGTCGCATACTATGTGGCACTAAACAATACACATATTTCAATTATTAATAATAAATTATATTCAGTCTCTATAAATAAGATATAGAAATCTTTATCAATATACATTTAAATTGTGAATTTCTGGCTTATTAGTTACTACATACTTTCATAAAAAAGTGAATTCGTTTATTTTTGATTAAGTAGGTACTAATTTAAAATTATTTATTAGTATTTAATTATAATTTAGTAACTTAATAATTTCAAATTACTAAATAATTACCTAGATACCCATGTAAGTTAACATAAATGACAGTAGCTTATTGAATTACTGCAATTTAAAAGTGCCCAACCCGGTATATAAGACATAAGTACTAAATAGAACTTAGGTATATTTTAAATTATAAATTAAAAAGATTATATTATATTCACAGGCTACAGCAAGCTGCGTATGGTATCGTATAAACAAGTTTATTTTAATAAAACAACAATTGTATATTTGAACATGTATTTGCACAAATATTCGTATTTTATAACATTGCATGGACCTGAATCACTATTATTAATAAATAATATTGACTACTTGAATATAGGTCTAATTGATATTAGTATAGTAATTAATATTAAATAGGACAATATTATACTTTGACAGGTTATATTGATGTAGGTACTTAGTAGGTATAGAGCTATAGTTGGGTTAGTTGGCTTGTATTTTTAATTTTTTGAGTATTTATGATTTTAACGCTCAAATTACACCAAACAGTTCACTAACATATTATAAAATACATAATCAATTTAGGTTATTGTTTTAATAATCTGTAATTGGCAACAAAAAAATAATCCTACAAAAAAATATTCAAGCCAACTTGCCCCATTAGCAGCGCAAAGTTAACAACACCATTGGAGCATGTCGACACACATAAGTAAAAATTTTAAATAATAAGCTATAGTAATATAGCTATATAGCTATAATAAATATATTTATTTATTTATCTTGGTACTGGTTTAGTTGACACCCGCCAGCCCACGTATTCTACCTCCACTCAGATTTAGTTGACGCTGGTGACATTTTTCTTAGGGCAAGTTACGGTGTCCGGAGAGAAGTGCCGCCATCCCCCACCCGGGCATGGCAGATGCCTACCGATGCCCATTGAAAAATATGCCAAACTGTGTAAACGTGTAACCCTAACACACAGTTAAAAACCATCCAACGGCCTAAGTTGCCGAGGGTTAGCTAATAAAAAAAAAAAAAACAATATTTAATTAAAACAAATACCTACATATACTTCAATTTTTTTTTATAAATAACAAATATCTCTTCATACAAAACATTTAAATGAAACAGTATTTGTAACACCTATTCTTTAAGTATTTCATAGATATTAAAATTAAGAACAGTGAAATTTGTATAAAAATTATGAAAAAAACTACTAATAGAAAACTCGTAAAACTGCAGTACATTATTTTATTTTATTGACTATTATAAGTTTTTATACAATAAAATGACTAATTGAAATAATCGAATAGCTCTACATTAAGGTTGACGCATAAGGTTACCTACCTAATATTGCTATTATTGCAAATACGTTATCGAATTTAACATCTCATTAATTTCATTTACGACTAACAGGTGTACTTATAGCTTGAAAATGTAATAGAAGTCTCTTAGTACATGGTTTCAAAGGCAGATGATAAATATTAAAAAACTTAAGTAACAGTTTTTTTTTTATAAGCATTTAAAAATTGACAAAATACCTAAAAATGACGAAAATTAGCAAATTATTTTGAGTTAGAAATTCATAAAAATTTTTCTTTTTAAATCTAAGATATGAAAATATAATACAAGATTCCTCATAAGTTTGTCTACCTTTATCAAAAAAATGTCTACAAGAAATTCAAATCAAATTTTTATGAGCGTTTGAAATTCATATTTTTACAACATTTGATATTCACTCGATTTCTCATATAGTGATTTCCTTATTTTGTTGTAATTCAAAAACGAATAACTGTAGATACATGAAAATTTCACTGAATGTTTATATTAGCATTTTCTATACACCATATAATTTATTTTGAACTGTTTAGGGACATTTTTATTTTTCATTTTATTTTTTGTTTTTTTTCTATAAATATCAATAAAATTTAATTTGTTGGTTCAAAAAACTTGAAAATTTAATAGAAGGCTCCTAGTATATTGTTTCAAATGCAGATGAAAAATATTAAAAATCTTTAGCCACAGTTTTTTTTTATAAACATTTAAAGTTCAAATATTGACAAAATACGGAAAAAAACACGAAATCTTGCAAATTATTTTTAGTTAGAAATTCATAAAAATTTTTCTTTATAAATCTAAGATTTTAAAATTGAATACAAGTTTTCTTATAAGATTATCTACCTTTATCAAAAAAAAAGTCTATA